ATGACATGCCAGTTGCTGCTGTGCTATCTCTCAGGTAGATGATTGTTCAAAAAGAAGGGGGTGGTGAATGAAGGCAAGAGGAAAAGGAATATTGTGGGACTGTCCTGATTCAAAGTTGTATATGGTTAGAATTTTGGACATATGAGTAAACATAAGAAGTATATAATTCTTTATGCCTATTTTTTTCAATATATTCTAATTTTTAAATATTTTTTCATCATATTCTATAGGGACTTAAAGTTCAACATATCAATACTTGTTGAAAAATACCTGTTCCATGTTATGCCTAAGATGTTTGATATCCAGACAGATAGTGAGGTTAAGCTTAATAGCGTAGGTTGTATGGTAATAACAATAAGCTTGTCTTCTGGATGGTTAACAACCTAAGTTTGTAGGCCAAAATCAGAGAAAAAGGAGGGTCGCAAGGAAAGCCAACATTTTGGGCCTAGCCTTCCAAGGTCAATTAAGACTCAGGACATAGGAGAACTTGTACTGTAATGTCATATAACTCGGTAGTGTTCCAAATTTTCTGATCAAGGAGATTATGGGTCCAAAGAGGAAAGTGACAGATGATGTAGAGTGTGCCTAAGGAGAGTCACATGGAGAGAAAACATTCTCTCAGGCTTTCACAGAGAGCACACTGGCCAAGCAATGGCCGTGACTCATCCACATGGCTGACACTGACAAAGGTTCTACAATCTGAGGTACAGGATCTCAGGATAAATCCTGAGGGGATTTCACTGACCTTATCAGACCCAAAAGCTACAACTCTTGTTGCATAGGTCCTGCTTTACCTTGGTCTTAACCATCCAGCAGAAAAGTATAAAAAAGTATAAGAAGTAAAGCCATGGTGTTATGTTGAGCTGTAGGAGACTCAGGTCAACAATTTCTGACATTGCCAGTGAAGCGGAAGACCCAATACTATTATGGACTGCTGAACTCTTTTAGAATATTTTGCTGAGTTTACACACCTATAATATTTAAATGATGGAACTTAACAAAAAAAGGGGGGGGATACAGATGAATGTCCATTTTGTATCTGTGTATTCAAAGTTTTTAGGATGGATATATAGTTACATTCTCTTAATGAATAGAGAGATTTGTTCTAATGGTGTTTGTAAACAGGATATCAAGTCTGCATCTTGTACAGCAATGAATCACGAGGAAGAATGTATGCAATGTGTTAATTATTGAAACTGTCCTATCAATTTAGTTTGAAACTGTCTCATTGCTATTTGTTTCTCAATAAAATTATGGAAAAAAAATTTGGCATCATTTACAATGTCTACTGTCAAAAAGCTATTCACTCTTGAAAAAATTTAGACATACTTAAACTTACTTTGAAATCTAAGTATAACATAGCATAAACAAACAATCATCCACCAAATCTGTTAGAGCGGAACATTTTTGTTCTTTTTTGTTGTTATTTTGAGACAAGATCCCACTATGT